ATAATGTTTTTCTGAGCACGGTTAAAAATCAGTTGTAGTCTTTCAAACGACTCAATTTTGACTTCTCATTCGTAATACTTCCAAACTGACACATACCCGAACAGGATTTGTACATGAAGCCTCAAACATTTGTAAAGTCTTTGGTGATGTTTAACGGATTACGTGCGAAAAGTTTTTTTCACTCTTAATATTACGTGTGCCACGACATCGTGTTACTGAATATCTATCTCTAAGCCGTTACTAGAAACCAATTCAGATTCACTTTCAAAATAATCAAAAGGAGATTTTGATCTGAGCTAAAGAAGAAGAAAAACAACAACAAATGAAGGTATACAAAGAAAAAAATTGATCATAACTGATACCTAGATTTTTATGCAATTACATATTTTTTGTCCGAGTTGGTTCAAATTTGGGATCTTGCCGAGTCATGGCAATCCTCACACGATACCCAAACCTTTTGCTACTTTTTTTTTACATATTTTGTACAACATTACATATGTCATGTATTTTGCTTACATATAATATATTTTGCATAACTTCTGATTATGCTTCCAATTTCCTTGTAACTTATTTCAGAAAAAAATATTTAATGGATTTTCGAAAAAAGTTTCTTTTTGAAAAAGTGGGCACATTTTTTCTTACACAAATAAAGAATTGCGTGCTGACGAAGCGAGATGTCCCACGTGAAGACGCGGAGGGATGCACGCGGTATGTCTGGCTTATCCTGTGTCCGCATTGCTCGTATGTGCGACATGTGCGCGCATGACTACTAAGAATGTACCATTAGAGTCGGAAAGTATCTTCGTCTTTCTCGATCTTTAATCAGAATTTCCAATAAAAATTGGTTGTCGTAGGCATGAGACTACGGGGATTATTTGCGGGCCATTGAGCATCGAGTTCTCGTTTGTATGGTTGTTGTTGCTTTAAAATATTTTTAGAAAAAAGTGCTTGAATAATTATTTCAGTAGTCTAAGCAATATTTGTTTTAGAAAATGGTTTTGTAATGTTTTATTAACGTATTTTCAAATTGTGTACATTTATTTCATTTGCAAACGAGAAAATAAGAGTATATTTTTATATTACATATTATATCCCTTTTTACATATTCACTACATCATCTTGTCGTTATAATAACATATTACTGTAGGGGAAACTGTTGTGCCCAGGGACAAAGCACGTTTTCGAAAAGCCTGTGAGAGAAATTTCGAATTCTTATTTTCCCTACATTGCTATTGCCATTTGTGTTTATTCAAGGGAACGATTTTGAAGGGTGGGGTTATTCCTTGATTTTATTTGTGTTTAAAAGATTTGACGAGTGAAAAGAAAATACTTCTTTATTTCTCTTTCATAAATTTTATAATAACTATTACTTTACGAAAACTTAAGTAAACCTAAACTTACTAGCATGGAATGTAGTTAATTCAAGATGTATAGCTTCCGGATCAATGACCTCTATCTCGATCAGGTTTTTGTCCAGTTTCCCTGATACATTGAGCAAATGCTGAGATGGCCCCTTATTTCGTTTCTGAACGTAATTGTCACTTCACTATGCGAACGTTTTGTTGAACTCTCCTTTTGCTTGTAGTGGTAGGAGTAGAGGTAAGGGTGAGTTATTTTGTTAGCAAAACAGAAAAATTAATCCTGCAGTTTGTTTTCCCTTGCAAATAAGTTTTCTACAACTCAGGAACGAAAATGTCTAGTTTTTCTAATGTTGCTAATCTCCCGCTTTTCTAAATTTTGTTTTTATTTATCTTTAACTTTTACTCATCCTTCAACTATTTATAGTTGGGATTTATGATGGGAGGGGATTCTGGAATTCAAGAAAACGTGCTCAGATGATCATCTTCCCCATACGTCTCAGAGTTTTTACTGTTTTTTGACTAAATAAATCTAAATACTTCTTTCCTACAGATAACCTACAATCAACAGTAGCCTTGTTCATTTATGATTGCCGACTGTCGTACCTAGGGACAGTGTCTATTGATGTAGTACCTAGGGACAGCCCAGGATAGGTGTAGTATTAAATGAAATTCATTTGGCTTCAGGATGTTTCCTTTGCTTTGTAGCATGGCCAGCTTACGACAAAAGGCCTCAACCACCAGCAGAAACAAATAATAGTCCAGTGTTGACTGTTGTTAAAGATAGTAGTGTATGTATTCGTTGTTGAGAAAAATGTGTTGTAGAAAATGACAAATTTGAAAACTTTATTGTACAATATTTACAAAAAAAAAACACTCATTGAAAATTTAAGAATGTTCTAATTTTACATGGATGACATTAATCTCACTGACCCACCTGTGTTTGGTTGTTCTCAAAGGCAGCATTTTTTTTGTTTCTTTTCCAAGTTATAATCTAGGATGAAGTCATTTTTATTCAAGAAATGTTTATCACACATGCTTATATCCTCTGAAGTTGGCATAGAGAACAGAACATACGCTCCAGAACCAATGTGTCTTTGGTGGTTATTGAGGCAGCAAAATTTTATTTTTTCCTTTACACACTACTTGTTAAAATCTAGATGAAATATATTGTTTAATAAATGTTATAGTAATAATCTCTGCATGAAAAAAATACATTTAGTTACATTTTTTTCAGTTTCCCTACATTGTCCCCGGGTACATAACTACGATGTACTTAGGGACACTTTACACAAACCATACTAAGGAGCACCTTATAGAATGTTATTAAAATTTATTATTCATGCACATAAATATGCTGAGATGTGTAACATCCCAAAAAGAGGTACATAAACAATGTCATGTCCAAAAGAAGGAAAAAATCAAAACATTAAAAATGTCCCTAGGTATGACCGTTTCCTCTACATATTTTTCCCGACTTCCAATGACATCTGTTTATAGCAGGGAATATATTAACCACTGGATTGACCCAGGAGCGGTTTTTACATGGGGTATCTTACAGGCGGCGACAATTTACTCCGTTATTCAATATTAAATTTTGCCTAGGGAAGGACAATATCTACATTTGACTTTGTACTTAAAGTCTTGCTAAACGATATTTGTTTAGACAAATATTTGATACAACTTAAAATTTTCGAGAAATTGATATGAAGGACTTACTAGTTCATGTTGGGACTTTGTAGTAAATGGTAAATCACACGAAAGAATTATATTATTATTTTGACTGTCTTTATAGTACATAAAACCATAAGAAACACGTTATAAACAAAAGAATATGTATTTAGAGTCATAACGGGCTTTTACAAACAAAATATTAGCTACAAATATACTTACGAATTTATACAGACGAAAGACAATTTTTTGTGCCTATTTAAAAGAGGTAAACACTCATGTACCGAATAGAATATTGCATTTGATTTATTTAGGTTTTCATTTCCATGGAAAATACGAAAAACCTTGATTTTTTAAACTATTCACATATTTTATTGACAATTTGTATTTTTAAGATACATAAATATTGAATAATCTGTAGTTTATCTTACTGAATAATATGAATTAATGTAATAAATTATTTGTTTTCAAATTTGAGATTAGAATTTATCCATTTCAGATGGTATAACTATTACAAAACTAGTTACTTCAATGATAGAAGAAGCTACTTTCCACCTAATGTTTGTATTACGTTTGTATTACAAATAATATGCGTACAACTCATAATCGAATGCTCGCGAAGGTATGCCAACAGTCAGCGTGTCGACCACAGAAGAAATGCCGTACATGAACAACAATGGTATAGGCAGCATGAGTTTCAGACACGTCTGCACGGGCTTGGCTTCTGCGAAGGAAGAGGCGAGGGAGAGGGGCCAGCAGAGAGCTGGCGCTGCTGTTGATTCGGACTCGAAGGCGATGCATGCCCTTTATGGCGGCGGTGGCGGCAACTGTTACTCGGCAGGCCAAGGCGGTGCTAGCAGGACAAGCATCACAGGGGAGCAGTCGGGCCGGGTGACGCGCCCACGCTGGAAGACTGTGAAAAAGTATAATCAGAAATAAATAATTAAATGGAATTGTACAGTACATTGGGGAAATGTACAGTCCATTAGCTTAAGACAATACCACACCAAATAAGATACAAAAACTATATATCTTGCAAGTGAAATTAGTAATGGTAGCACATTTAAGATCAGAAAGTGGTTTCTGCAAACTTATACAAATAACAGCGCACTGAGACATCCTTACAAACCACATTACAGACGGGGAAAATGTAATAATGCAAGTACACCGTTTCCCGAGTTACCTAGCGATTGGGCTGCAAAGCATAAATAGTTAGTATTTAATCTGCTGTGACTGTAGCTGGCCGAATATACATTATCTAGTGATGTCCCAGTTACACCACGATAACAAATGACTAAAAATCAATAATTGTTAAGTTTTGTGGCACAAACACTATTAACAAAAAGTCAAAATAAATATAAAAAATGCTGGGTATAACTAAGTTACAATCTCTTTCAATTTTACCTGAAACAAATAACCAAAAATGTGATGAAATAAAAAAAAAGTTATTGAATGCAAAATGTATAACACTGAAGCCATAAAAATAACAATCACATCATTTGAATATAACAGGTAGTCTTCTTTTCCTCAAATACCTAATTAAATTTAAATGACAATTCATCTACATCAATGGTTTAACATTTAAAAGAGTCGGCCTATCCACTCGCGACGCCGTATACTACTTACTTTTTCGGGCGCACGAGGCTTGCGCATGGAAATGTCAATAAATCTCTGTAACTGAGGTATTGAAATTCATTAGAAATCCTAAAAAGGAGGAAAGATATTTTAAGAATGCATTAATGGGTGTGCCTCTGACAGCGGCGCGTGCTCTGGTCAGGTTAGCTGGCGCGATGACATGGGCACTGTTGCACGCGCCGAAACAAGTATGAAAAAATAGCTATGGATTTTAAAATACCGTATAGTGTTCTATAAAGTCTAGTAACTTCCAAACCTGTCTGATGTATCCAAAAAGATGTCCAAAGCAGCCTAATAGTGAACAAAAAATTAAAAAGCAGTGGAGCTCAAATGTGGGCCGTTAACAGTGGTGGCGCGCGGCGCATTTTTAGCCCATTGTAGTGAAATGGTTAAATTGTGCGAAGTAAGGTTCTTAAATTTAAGATTTTAAACTTGAATCTCATCTAAATTAAAAGTATTTTGGATTCAAATTTACGTAGCTATGACCATTTGAAAAGTGTATATTTCTACAGGTTTAACGTAAAATTGGTCATAATCGAACTAATGTGGCACACTGTGCGACTGAAGTAATGGCAATGTTTGATCATAAAATTGTTGCGAGATAACATGGGCACCACTTCAGCCACAAATCCCTTGATAAAACTATCAGTAAATAATATTTATTCCTTATTATTAAAAATTAGCGGAAAGAGACTGAAAAAATGGGGTGTTTACAGGGTTTATGGCACCCCTAAACAAACTTTAAAAAGAGCTTTATTGGTGCTGATATAATTGGATCGAAAAGTAACCTTTTTGAATAAGCCATTGAATTCTATTTTTTTCGTTACAGCACCCACTATACATAATTCATTTTCTTTTTTATCTCTGTTTATTTTTCATTGTAAACAAATATATTTGTTTCTTTTGTAAATAAACAGTTTACATGTTTCTGGTGTGTATGCTTTTGAAATGCAAATTTGGCATAGAAAATATTTTTCCATCCCAACTTGTGAGTGCTGCCATCTATCGTCACCCAAAGTATTTTTTTAAATGTTCTAATTCTCTTTTTTAATTTTTTCTATTTCCTAATTGTGAAACTAAAATATTACTTTAAGAATATCAAAGAAGATTAAAACCTCGTACTAAATGGCAATTGTATTTGAAAAATCTGGAGCCATTTCTACGAAAATGATTAAGCTTTACTGTAAATGGGAACTTTGAAGCTCGTTATCATGAATATTGTTTGGATTTTCGATAAACTTCGTTTAAAAACTACTGAAGCACTTCCATTCGAGTGCAATAATGTATATGAACCACTGGAAATGTGTGTATAAACTGCGTGAGAGATAGGAATATTTGTATATTTTTGAAAAACAACCAAAAAAAGAATACACCAAAATTAATCTTGTCATCTTAAACAGTGTAATTAGCATTTGCCGTACGAAAAGCTCGAAGAAACAATTCGGAGCTATTTTTGAGAAAATGGCATTTGAAAATTTTTAAAGATACAGACATTTGAGCTCGTTTCCACAGAAACGTTGTCAGTTTTCAAAACAAATTTATAAGACATTTAAAGTACATGTACTCGCAAAAATGAAATGAAAAACACGCCGCTAATGTAAATATTAACGACATGAGAGACGAGTAAAAAAATATTTTTTTTATATTTCTTGAAAAACCAGAGCGAAATGGTATGTAATCTCAAATAATGCAACCTTACCAAAAGTTTAAAGAAAAAATTTTAAACCATTTTTGAGAAAATGTTTTTGTAATTTGTTTTAAAATTGCGCATAATGCACGTAATATAGCGGGATAACGACTACAATTTTGAAAAAAGTGTACATGATCTTAATGAAAGAACTAAATATAGACAACATATTTCATTTCAAGAAAAAACTATCTACAATTTTGTAGTTGTAGAAAGAGACCGAAATTATTCAAATTTTTGAAATTTTGAAAAATTCGGAGTTAATTCTGAAAATCACCTTTATAAGTTATATTTTACTCTATTCTTACAAGATTTTAAAGAATAATTTGGAGCAGTTTGAGAAAACTTTGAAAATATTCCACGGTCATCATGTAAAGTAACTCCTAAAATTAATGTTTTTCAAAATCGCAGATCTTTGGCTCGAGCCAGACCGACAAGTAATGCGCTAGTGGTGTTCACAGACGTACGGACATATAGACGGACATATGACCGTCAATAGATTTTTCGGTATTAAGGTGAATACTGAAGTACTGGGTCTGTGGTTCGTAGTAATAGTCCTATTACTCGCATTCAGTCACAATGCACTTCAAAAATGAGTAAATTTATTTTCAACTTTAACGTTTTAGCCAAAACAACGTTATAGCCAAAACAACGTTATAGCCAAAACAACGTTATAGCCAAAACAACGTT